GATATTTAGGAAACAGTGGCCGATGTTGTAGCGAACCCTTTGCTTATCGTATTCATAGATCGAGATCCGAATGGGAAAGTTGTCGTTAAACACATCAAACTTCTCTTTGTCGTTAAATTTAATTAACGACGATTTCTTAGACTTAATCAAAGTGGTCTCAAAGTACTCATCACACGTCTGTCGCTGTGGTTCATCCTCTGAATGCGAGCCCTCGGAGGACACGGATCTACTCGTGGGGTAAATTCTGGCGAACACTCCTTCCGGTATGAGCTTATCATTGGCTGAAAAACCGCTTCGGCGAAGATTTTTCGCTTTGATTAGTGCCACCGAAGCGTACTTTTCATCGGTTGTGACCGACAGTACAAGCGTTGGGATGGTATCCATCTCCGAGTCCACCGATGAGACCGATTGCTGTGAACGCAGGGAATGCCGTTTGGGTTGTACTCTATCCGTCACATATCGCTCGTCCTTTTCGTACAGGACATCATCGCTTGAGTCAGAGTTATCACTACTGCTCTTCGTCTCGGATCTGGTCCTTTGGAAACAATGTTTTATTTTGACATTAATTATTGATTCACACATTCATTCCGATTGCTATAACTTATATCAAAATACTAGATTTAATATTAAAAGCATATAATATAATATAACTTAGGGGACTCTAATTTTAATGGTTATTTTTCCTGTGTATAATTGAAAAATAATATAAATTTTAGTATAAGAAATTAATTAATTATAAATTATAAATTAATTATTAAGTAAAGCATATATTATTTTTTATTTGAATTTAATACCCATTTGTAGTGAACTCACAGTTTCATACGTTTAGTATTGGGCGATAAGACCCCGGACTCAACCGATTCCTCACAAATGCTATTCTTTTTCTTCGATTTCTTTGAGCGATATTTCATTAATAAGACGACCATTACTATGAAGGCAATGAACCCAATGCTGACCAAAATCACTAACAAATTGACACCTATTTTGAATGATTTTATTATAAAATATCATTTAATTAGTTACTTTGTTGTTCACATCACTTATAAGCACTTTTATCATTGTATTTCAATGCATTGTGTATTTGTTAACAGAATTGTTGAAAATGTTTATATTTTACAATTTTTACATTTAAAAACTTTTTAATTCATTTGAAAGCCTTGAGTTTTGTTTATAATAAATGGCTTTTTTGTTAAATCCATAGTGAATAATGCGTTAATTTTAAGTACAGAATATATAGTATTGTACACGTAATTAAACTTATTGGCAACTGTTGGCAATTCAATCTAAACACCTGCCCCTACCGACCCTCAGTTAAAATACGGAGCCGTTTATAACTATTGATTAGAGATGAAAACATAAGTTGTTTTATGGTTTTAAAAAGTTTGTGATTTTTAAAATACATGTGATCGCTATAAGGTTATACCAGATACTGTTTATGTAAATATCTAAACCTAGTTTTGTAA